ATTTAGCTACTAATTTTAGTAGTTTATAATACTATTTCTAGATACTAACTTACTATAAAACCTCTTTAATTATATAGGCTATAGCCTAAGTAGAAGTATTTCTAGCTTTTCTACCTTAGCTAGCGTAAGCGTTAAATAAGTCTAAGAGCTAATTTAGTTTTCTATTAGAAATACTATAGTATGTCTATAACTTAACTTACTCTTCTAAACACTATAAGTAAATACTAACCTAATCTAAGATTATTCTACTAGTAGAGTATTAAAGGCTTCTTTCTTACTATCTAGAGCAATATTAATAGAAACCTTATTCTTCTTTTTTTATTTCTCTTTTATAGCTTATATTATTATTTAAACTTTAATTCTTATTATATTATTCTATTCTCTCTTTATACCTTATCTTAGATATATAGCTTTAGTTATATACTCTACCTCTACTTACTCTACCTTTTCTATATCTTTATAAATACTATATAATATATAAAAATATTTACTAGTTAAGAGTTTTTTCTATAATAGTAATTATACTAGATCTAATATATAATAGTATAGAGCTAGACACTAATTAGATAGATATTAATAAATTTACTAATATTAATAATAAAAGTAATTTTTCTCTTATACGCTTCTTTTAGTTCTATCTACTACTTAGGTATAGAGAAAAATTAAATACTATTATAATACTAAGAAGTAGCTTAAACTATTAATTATTAAGTAGAAATCTAAATCTTAAGTAGTAATACTTATAGCTTAAAGAGCTACTAATTCTAAAGAAGTAAGAACTATTACTAGTACTCTAAAGAATATATAACTAAATCTTTTACTTACTTTTAGAGGTATAGTATTAAGTAAGCTAAGGCTTAGAGCTTTAGTACTACTATCTCTAAAGTAGTTAAAGCTTCTAAATCTTTTAAGCCTATAAAGTAGCTATTCTAATACTAAATACCTTATAAAAAAATTATAATACTAAATACCTTATAAAAAAACTCTATAAGAGAATTATAATTTAATTATATACGCTTATTAGCTTATAACTAATAGAGTAATATATTTTAAAGCTTTATAGTTAGAACGCGTATACTAATAGTTTAGTAAAAGTATACTTTTTCTATTTTTTATATTTCTATAACTTTTAGAACTCTAAATATATATTAAAAAGCTAATAGTAATTTAAATCTAACACTAAAAGCTATACTAATATATACACTAAATTACTATCTTATAAGTCTTATAAGTAATTATAAGTTAATATTAAACTAATCTTATTACTAGTTATATTACTTTACTTACTAAAGCTTATAAACTACTTTATTATTAATTAATTACTTCTATTACTACGTTACTATTACTAAAGTCTCTATAAGTTACTCTAATTATATTAAAAAGAAAGCTATTATAGTAGCTATTCTAAAGGCTATTCTAGTAGCTATTATATAAATATTATCTGTAATATAATACTTAATATTTTAAGCACTCTAAGAGGTATCTTTAAATATCTAAAAAGCTACTTTGTTTATACTATTAAAGATTCTATTCTAGCTTTTATTAAAGCTTTTATTAAAGCTTTAGTTATTACTAGTTTATAAATATATTTACTTAAGTTAAAGCCTTCTATTATTTTCTCTTCTAGTCTTACTTTTAAAGAGCTTATTAGTAAGATATATAAGCTTTTTTATAAATATTCTTTTATTAAAGATATAAATTAGGTTAAAGATTACTTTATTACTAGTATAAAGAAGTTAGACTTACTAATTACCTATACTATTAATATTTATAACTTTATATATACTCTAAAGTTTAAGATAAAGCTATCTTTAGGTATAGAGGCTACTATTTAGTAGTAGTGTAGTACTTTAGCTAGAATTTATTATATAAATATTAAGAATTAGAATACTAAGAATATAGCGTTTCTAGCTTATACTATACTCTCTAATACTATTACTTAAATAGATACTATAAAGTTATACTATAGTTACCTTTAAAGTCTATATTATAATTAGTAGTTTTTATATTATTCTTATTAGCTATAGAATTAAAATAAGGTTATTATTAATAGCTAAGAATAAATATAGTAAGTTTAGTTAGTAGTATACCTATTACTATATATTATATTAATTATTTCTAGTTATTTCTAGTTATAATATAAAGAAAGTTATATAGATAAGTGTAAAATAAGTTTATACTATAAACTAAAATAACTATATTACTATAGTAATATATACTAAATTAATATTAAAATTATTTAGTAGTTCTAAAGAGAACTAGCTTAAAGTCTTTTAATATTTTTTAAATATCTTTTAACATTATTTTACTATAAAGATAACTAAATTAGACTTAAGGCACTATTAAACTATTAATATATATTATATAATAAAATAAAAAGCCTTAGAATTATTTAAGAAGCTTTACCTTATAGTTTTATATAGAGTAAGTTCTCTATAAAGATTTTTATTTCTTTAAAAGGCTGTTATTGTAATGTTACAGAGTTGTAAACTTTAAGTGAGTGTTCGATTTTTCCCTGCACCCAGGTGCCGCCCGTTGTGCCTTTCTTCCCGTCCCGCATCCTACACCTACAGACTCGTGTGGCGCTAGCCACTAACCTAAGAACAGGTTTGATGACGTAGAATCTGACCAATTAGCGCCCCGCACCAACGTGCCACAGTGATATATCCTGCCCAGCACGACACAGCAAGATTATTCGTTTTTCTTATCTCTGGAACACCACATATTTGTTGTACGGAATTTTTTAAGTCTTAAGCTTTTACGACGTATACCCAAGACCGATACTGTGGGCTAAGTTAAGCTCCTAAGATTAATACTGCCATCTACACGATGGTGCCCTCAATTCCCGCAATACTGCAAACCCCTTGGCCTGAAAGACCGTCGACGAGGATTGTACAGCGTGATGAAGAGTCTCTTCGGCATGAAGCGGGGGAGACGGAGAATCGACGTGCGTTGGAGGAGTATCGGAGCCAGAAGAGCGCGCTGCAGGAGGAGAAACTGTATGTTCTCTCTACCGGCGCTTCCTTATTCTCTACCTGATCTCGGGTGTCTATTATGTGTCTATGAAAGGGGTTCCTCCGATCTGATGTTGTGTACAGTGCCGTATGTCCTCGCCTCACGCTTCGACTCTCGGATGCCAGCACTCTGTCTCTCAGGGATGGAACCTTGGATTTCACGGCGACGCTATGCTACACAATGACTCCTGAATTTGTACCTAGCCAGCCAATCGTTCTACACCTGCTTGGTCCTAAAGCTGGAGGCCCACTATCCGAGAACGCAGTGTACTGGGGCCAGTACCAGATCTTTGCTTCGCCTGAGAACCTCCCTGAACATCGCCTTCCCTTTGAATGGCGCAATGTGAGTTTACGGCGGCCAAGAGATGCAAACGGGCGGTTCATCGATTCGAGCGATAGCCATTACGCAGCGGCGCAGACTTATGTTGTCAGCGAGGCTGAGGGATGGATTGAGCTGTTTCCCGGACAAGAAGTCAGCCGGCGCGTGACGTTACAGCTTGATCAGGCTGTTGCTTGGCAACGAGGGGTCAGCTCTGGGCGGGATTATTGGTTGCGTTGGGCGCCAAGTGGAACGGTTGGTAATCCGAAGACGTTGTGGAGCTGGAAGTATGGCGGGTTGAAGGTACGTCACCGAGTTATTGTTAGGGTTGGCCATCCAATGTCGGGCAGTTGCTGACTGTTTCCACCGCGCAGGATTGGGAAGGGATCATCCTCAACAAGAAGGAGGATTCAAAATGCTGGATACCGATTCCTATCCAGTCAGAGGAAAGCGGGCTGAAGTTCAAAGTCGTTGATGGGGCCGAGTAAGATGCAGCTGACAATCATGAAACGACTTGGTTCGCTGGAGCACCCAAAATAAACGCTCAGCAGCGAATCCTTAGGAGAATCATATTCGGCCCCATTTTTTGTATTTGGCCCCCTGATTTTCCTAGTCGACCCCTCTAGGCAGAAGTATGCGTGGAAGTTTTCGAGCCTCGACTTCAGGACTACGCATACGGATCGGCGCGATGCGCAGACTTGGCGGAGAATGATGGCGAAGAAGCGTATGACAACGCAGATAGCTGGATGCTCATCGCCCTTGGAACGTACTGGGCGGACAAGTGCGGCCGCGATATTCCTTTGAGTGAGGAATAGGAGGATTGGATGTGCGCTGGCTCTTTCTATTATCAATGGGCGAGGGGATCGTTGGCCATAGCCATCAATCCCTCGAGAAACCCTGAATATAGGTTGTTTTTGTAGAACAAGAAGAGATGTGATTGTTCTATAGAAGAGGGAGGAAGCCCTGTATAAATACTACTAGGGCGACGCTAGTGCTAGCGTGGGTGAATCACGTGATAGAATCCTAACCAACAGTTTTCGAAATATTGTGCGGTTTTTGAGCCAATCAAGGAAAATGGCGCTAGATCTAGTTTGTTAGCAAATCGTAGTACAAACAGTATCCTACTACATTTGGCATCGCCAGAACGCTCTAAAGAATGCAGCGTGTGCAGGCGTTATCTAAGAATCTCTTAGCGTATCGTTTTTTCTTTAAATATAGTGACGCTGTCTAGATGCAAATGCGTGCTTAGCTTTTAATATTTTATTGTAGAGATATAGGTAATTAACAAGTCTGTAAGAGAGATGTAGTTAGAACGAGGTGCAGCGGCAGGGTCCGCGGGAAGGGCTAGCGCGGTTTTAGTGCGGGGCAATCGCCGATATGTGCACGAAACCATGCGCTAATCTCTCTACACGCCTCGCTTCCTTATCCCTCACGCTGTAAACGCTACGCCTGTCTTCTTTGGGCGATGACTGTGCCTCTTCCTTTGTTCTGGTTATTGTTGTGCGACAATAGGCACCCATCGCGATGACGTGCGACGTCCGTGCGCGAAATCGCATGTTCACCGTGTCCCCAGCACTGAGGTTCGTTTGCGCTGCATCTTTTTACTTGGTCGTTCCAAATCGTGACGAAGATGCTCAGCGCACATCGTCTCGTTCACTCTCGTCGCCATGGAGTCTAAACCACCTCTACCTGTTTCAGCGGACTCGTATGTCTCGACTCATAGCACTGCACTTGAGAGAGCTAGTTCACAGGCTTTGGTCGGCGATGAGAACCCGCTCAACTGGTCGGCACTGCGCAAATGGCCCTTGTCCATTATCGTGATCCTGATGTCCGCAACGATGGGCTACTACTCCGGTGTGCATGCTGCCTCGATCCAGGCAGTCGCAGATTTCTACGGATGTTCGGTACTCGCGTCCACGTCTGCGGTGTCGTTCTTTCTCCTCGGATTTGCTATTGGTCCTCTCTTCTTCGCACCGTTGTCTGAAATGCTGGGAAGAAACCCGATTCTCAGAGTCGCGTTTGGACTCTTCGTCATATCCAATATCGGAGACGCGTTAGCGCCTAACATCGAGACACTGTTGTTCTTCCGCTTCTTGGGAGGCCTTTTGGGAGCGCCGACAGGTACGAGAACGAATAGAGAGAGATGGCACCCATACTGTGCTAATATCCTGCAGTTACCAACACGGCAGGCTCCCTCACTGACATGTGGGCTCCACATGAGCGAGCTGTCCCACTCGCTCTTTTTACCGCAGCAAGTTTCTTAGGTTTTGTCATCGGCCCCATCTGTGGCGGACCTATTACGCAGTACGCTTCGTGGCAATGGTGAGCAACTCCCTCTCCTACGAAACTTCTCAACAATGTCTAACAATACCGTAAGGGGCTATTGGACTTCCATGATCCTCGGCGGCATAACCTACATCTGCGCCCTCCTCTTCCTCCCAGAAACGTACGCCCCACAACTGGTCCGCGCGAAGCAAATCAAAGCTGGTGGCAACCTCTCCAATGTTGACTGGAAGAAACGCGCGCGCGATAACCTGGTTCGTCCATGGGTTATGCTCTTCACCGAGCCCATCGTGTGGGCCTTGTCAACGTACATGGCATTCCTATACGGAATCATGTGTCTCGTACTCGTCGCCTATCCCATCGTCTATAAGGAATACAGAGGCTGGTCAACTGCCAAGATGAGCGTTGGATACACAGGCCTGGCAATGGGAATGGCTCTTCCAACAATCCTATCACCTCTGCTAAATCGCGCCCATACACATTTTGTGCGCAAACTAGGTCCGCAGCCTGAAGCACGCTTCCCACTGCAGATAGCTTTCACATGGCTAACACCTATTGGGCTCTTCTGGTTCGCATGGACGGCAACAGCGTCTGTACCGGCTGTCGTGCCCATTCTGGCTGGGGTTCCGCTGGGTATCGGTCTTCTGACGGCTTTTCTGGATATTGCTGCGTATCTTACCGATTGCTATGGTATATACGGGGCAAGTGCCCTTGCTGCAAATGGACTTCTGTGCCGACTCTTTGGTGCAGCATTTCCGCTCTTCTCGAAACGGTTGTATGAGAGCTTGGGTGTACCGTGGGGAACTAGTCTGTTGGCTTTCGTCGCCACGGCTATGGCGCCTATCCCGTGGATCTTCTATCGCTATGGGCCGACGATCAGAAAGAAGAGCGCATACCATCAAGCCGCCATGGGTCGTACATAGAATGCGATATGCGTTTCTTTGTGTGTTACATAGATTGAACGATGCGAATAGTCTGAGAATTGACGGACGCGACGAACAGTGATCGGTGTTGGTACATATATCTGATGTGATCCGTGCTCAAACGCGTTAATAGCTTCCAACGCGCTGCGCCCAGGCAGCTCCCCTTGCCACGACAATTGCTTCCTCAACCCAATACGCGCCCTACGCCCATCACCAAAGACATCACTTTGCTTGTCTTGGGGAAGAGATACTTCCACCGTGAAGTATCAACGTGCGCAATGTGTGGGCCTCGCTCGAGCCAGCACCGCACGACTTCAACGCGCACCCAACCTGGCTGGACGAGCTGATGCGCCTAGGTCGAGCCTGTGACGTCCAACCTCGTACCAGCCATCCCCTACAAGCTCTCTAGCTACGCTCGTCAACAAACGCATTAGCACGCAACGGCACCAACAACAAAGACGACTTCTTCGTTTCGAGCGTTTCCCTGCCATTGCCAGTGGTATCGCACCTCTTTCGAGCCTGTATCCCCGAGACCGCCGATAATACCTAGGTGGATAGACTGTCGTCCACAGAACCTATATCGCTTGCGCATCAATTTTGGTGGAGCAATATGCACGAGGGCATTCGTCATACTCGAAGGCAGGGCAGAGACACGGTACATCAGGCGTGATCAGACTGTGGGCAATGGTGACAGCCCTGGGGCCATGTCTGCACACACAACAATTGAATATGGCGGTACTTTACGTATTCCAACCAACTGATGTGCGGATGCTATGGTGCTGTCTAGGATCTAGTCTGGCTTTTGCATCTTCTACCACGGCTGTACGTTGTGGTTAGTTTTGCACCTGCCGCTGTCACCCACACGTGGAAGCAGCGGCCCACGTGCTGCCGTGGACCCTGATTTTCACGCCGTTACCGTTAACCCCGCAAACTCCTCCTCTCACGACATCTAAGACACGTAGTTCAAGTTCTAGATGCATGCTATCAGTACGCATTCTTTTTTTACTGCCAATAGTGGCCTGATTCGACGGGTAAATTAATGTAGTTTGCACGTACTACTACTGAAGCAGCGGGTCTGGGGGCCTAGGCTCCTCTTGAACGAATGGCACAAGCGCCAGGCGCGCATGAGGCTCCTGATGTTCATTTACACCTACCTAACTCTGCTAGTATACTGTAGTGCTTATCTGCTGTTCGGTCAGGGCGCAATGCTTAACCATATTATGGAGTGGTCGTATAGCCATGCGCGGCTTCACGCTTCCCATCTCTCAACATCCACCGTCTTTGCTCTAACAATGCCAGGCAGAGATCACACCGCCGAGGCCGAGACCTTCGACTTCATTCTGGTAGGAGCAGGATCAGCAGCATGCTTGATCGCGTCACGTCTCTCGCAGCGGCTACCCGATCGCCGAATCCTCGTTCTGGAAGCCGGGGAACATGTTCGCGACGACGCCATAGTCCAAACGCCCGGTCTATCGGCAAAACTGATGTCATCTGAGTACGACTGGCAATACATTTCCGTGCCGGAGCCAGGTCTGAACAACAGGAGAGTGAAGCATCCGAGAGGGAAGTTGGTGGGGGGAACCAGTGCGATCAATAGTCATAGTGTGGTGTTCCCTAATCACGAATGGCAAGACCGTATCGCGAATGAGCTCTTATCAGATCCGGGGAAAGAAGAGTGGAGTGCAAAGAGCATGGGAGATTGCTACAGCCGATGGCAGGCAGAACACCCCGAACCCAAACTTGACGATGGTATAAAGACATCATACCCGCGTACCATGGACTATCTCCAATCTCGCTGGACGGAAGCCTTTGAGGAGCTAGGTCATCCGACGGGCACTACAGGATTTGCCGAGAGCAATGCTGGCGCAGTCACTGTCACCAATGCGATCGACTCATCAAAAGGCGAGCGAAGCCACGCAGGCCAAGCATTCCTAGAGCCCGCCTTGAAACGGGGCAATGTGACAATAAGAACCGGCATAAAGGTCGACAAGATTGCTTTTGACGAGGCGTTGACCGCCGAAGGGAAGCTTAATGCCACGGGCGTTCACTTCACACACGAAGGCGAGGAGTATCTGATCGATGGTCGAGAGATTATCCTCTGCGCAGGCGTATTCGAGTCTCCCGCGCTATTGGAACGATCAGGTATTGGATCCAAAGACGTCCTCGCGGCCGCGAATGTCCCACTCTTATACGAGCTGCCAGGCGTCGGCGAGAACTTGCAGGATCATCTGAACTGCGGTCTGTCCATCGAAGCTGGAGACGACACTCCAACTCGTGACGACGGACTACGAGACCCTATGGTGCAAAGGGCGGCATTAGAAGAGTACGGGAAAAGTCGCACGGGTCGACTGGCTGAAGGAGGAGCGTACAGTTTCGCTTTCACGCCACTGCAGTTACTAGAAACTCACTCAGAGACGGAGGAACTGGTTGCAATGGTCAAGCATTCGGTGGAAGCAGAGAGCAACCCCAGCCTCAAAGCCCAGTACTCCGTCATCCAAAAGGCCGTCGAGAGCCCTAGCGAAGCAACAGCCACGACCTTCATGCTGCGTTCACAGCGTCACAGAGACCTCGAATCGATGCCTCCAAACACGCCATCTGTGGTCGATGGCAACTACATCACCATTGTTGCCATGTTGGCGCATCCATTCTCGCGCGGAAACTGTCATATCTCCTCCGATCCTTCGCTCAAGCCAGAGATCAAGTTTAACTACCTATCGCATCCTCTTGACGTGGAGATCTTCGCTCGCCACCTCCGTCTCATTGAGAGGCTCTTCCAAAAGCCTGTCTTTACTGCTATGGCAAAACCAAATGGAAGACGATTGCCTCGAAGCTTTCCCCACCCAGTGACGTCGCTTGAAGATGCGAAAGGGATCCTTCCTATCAATTCGGCAACGAACTACCATCCTTCTAGCACTTGCTCGATGATGAGAGAGGACCTAGGGGGCGTTGTTGACGAACGACTGAGAGTATACGGAACGAAGAATGTGAGGGTTTGCGACGCTAGTGTTTTGCCGATTATACCACGAGGGAACATCTTGACCGCTGTCTATGCTTTCGCGGAGAAGGCGGTTGAGATTATCTGTGCGGAAGCGAAATCGGGCTTTATCAAACCCTAAAGACGATCGATCCTGAGTCGAACATCGGGTCTCTTGACGAGTGTAGTTTGAAAGCTCATTGTAAGACATGAGTAAATGCATTTTCGGTCACGTATCAGCTATTCTTATCCTAGGCCCTCTTCTTGATGATATCCGCCGCCTTCTCCGCAATCGCGTACATAGTGGCCTGTAGATGCGTCGCAGGAATCATCGGAATGATACTTGCGTCCACAACACTCAATCCCTTGACTCCATACACCAGCAATTCATCACTTACACAACCACCAAGCTCTTCAGGCATCATACTGCACCCACCACTGGGATGCGCGAATGTGGGTTGTAGTGAGCCCGAGGCAACACCGCCCTGGATGATCTCCTCATCGGTTTGGTACTGAGGGCCAGGAGCTGTCTCCACAGGGTTATATTGCGCAAGTTCCTTGGACGCCCAGTGTGCGCGGTTGTATCGTGTAAGGGCTACCATAACATCCGCATCAACAGGGTTCTGGAACGTGTTCCATTGGACAATCGGATAGGCGGCAGGATGTGTATTGTTGAGTGTGATAGTGCCTCGTGAGAAGGGCTTGTTGTTCGCGATACCAGAGAAACCCCATGGCTGGATGACAAGTTCGCCTACAGCGGCGTCAGTGCCGGAGAACTGCTTCGCAAGGATGTCGCGCTGCTTCTTGAAACCGGCGAGAAGCTTCTTGTCCTTTGCGTAGCGTCCCGGGAGGAAGTTGGAAGCTACTTGAGATCGTATCTTGGCAACAGTCTTCTTGAACGAGGAATCGAAGTGTTGTAGTGCAATGAAGACGAGACCGTTGGCTTTGCCAACAGAGTATGGGCCGGTGCGCGACTTCAAGTACTGATCGTAAGCTGTTTGGTTGAAGGATGAATCTGTGCCGAGGGCGTTCATGTTCTCTGGATTCAGGTTTTGAAGGTCAAAGTTCATGTAGTTGGCGATGTGGTCTTGGAAATTTGAACCCACGGCTGGGAGATCCTAGGAAATGTCAGCACAGGTCTCAGGATCATCACCACCATCCTTACACCTCATACAAGGAGAATTCTGAACAGGTCTGCAGCCTACATCAACATGGAAACCTGCAAAGTAGGTGTCCTAACGTCGATGTAGGCTCCAGCCCTGTTCAAATTTTTCGAGGTTGACGTGCTTACCTTCTTAACGGTGACACCGGCAGCTTTCAGAACGTCCTTTGGGCCAATGCCAGAGTACATGAGCAAGTGTGGTGTAAACACGCCACCAGCAGCAAGAATGACTTCTTTTGCGGCAGTGGCTTCGACTTGCTTGTTGGTGTCTTTTGGAGTATACTTGACGCCCGTGGCGGTTAAGGCGCCTACTCTGTTCTTTGAGAACATAATCTCATCGACATGAGCGTTTGTTAAAAGTTTCAGGTTCTTCCTCGACACAATGGGATCGTAGTACGCAGTGCGCGATGTACTACGCATATCAGTCGCCTTGTTGATTGAGTTCGGTGACCAGTAGTGACCGACAGGCTCTGCAAAGCCCTCCTGTGGGTGCGGAATGTCGACATCATCCCAGGAGTGATAGATAGTCTTCATATCGGGGAATTGGTAGTCCGGTATCGACACCTTCAGCGGGCCATTTCCGTAAGCCTTGGCATCATAGGTGATACCAAAAGCCTTGGTTGTCTTCTTCGAAGGCGCATCGAAGTCGTTGCTCTTCATGAAGTATGGTTTCAGCCCCTTCCAATCCCATCCTTTGTTTCCGAGCTGGCCCCACGCGTCATAGTCTGCATCAGCACCTCTGTCAAACTGCATTCCGTTCACATAGGACCCGCCGCCGACGACGTTGCCGACTGTTACTAGGAAAGTTTGGTTGCCAAGATTGGGAACGGGTGCGCTGTAGATGTCGTACATAGCAGCAAGGTTGAGGCCGCCCGAGTTGCCGGGAATGCTGGATAGGGTGCCATTGTCGAGAGCGCCGTTTTCGATAACCAGGACCGCCTCTGTAAACAATTGTCAGCTCATTGCTCGAAGCACCTCTTCACCTTTCGGTACTCACTCTTGGGATCTTCGCTTAGTCTGTTCGCAACGACCAAGCCCGTGGTGCCTCCTCCAACAATGACATAGTCGTATGTGGTTTGGGCTGATGCCACTGCTAACACCGCAGCGCCAAAGAACGAAGGAGCGATGAATGAAAGCATGTCTGACTACGTATGAGGTAAACGAGAATTACCACAAAGATAAATTTGCTTGCTGACCCGTACGGATCACGGCTGGCTGCGAAGCTGAAGGATTGACGGCGTGCGGAAGAAACCATGAAGCCTTCCTGGGAACGATTTATAGGCCCTCATCGCAACGCTGCCAAGAGATCGTCATGCGTGGTACGGTCTGTACATGTAGACCCCTGGCTTCCATCGATATTCGGACGCATGTGCATCTGCCGGTCTTACTGTGGGTTCTCATGGATGGCTAAGGACCTGCGCCTTCGAGCGATGGATCGTGGCAAAAGGCCGGGTCAACACATGGCGGCCCCAGGGGTGTCAAACATCGGAGGGAATACGCCGGAAAAAAAACTTGACATGTAATCGAAAAGGCGGCGCATTGCTAGTCATGAAGATCAATGCCATGAGAACGGGACGTAGTGCCAACCCCGTGGAAATAACCTTGGAAAGGGTACGCGGGGTGCCTGTCAGGCCCGTTCCCACGCGCGACCGGCAACGGAAGCTACGAAACGGTCCGCCTCGTGGAGTCGCGATGTTGCGACTATGTGCTCAATCAATAGTAAGAGCTATATGTATCGTATTCTCTTCCACAAGAGCCTTCCTTCGCAGCTGCATCGCCAGAATGCTGCGTGTTCTCCACGTGCCAGTCAGGGACACGGGGAGTTCTCTGCACGCTCAATCGGGTATAGCGCATCTGACATCCCACCCCTGCGGAGCCAAATGCCGTCCCAGAACTCCAACCGAGCCGCCTCGCCAGGAGCGGGACGCAGACCCGCGTCGATACCCTATGGCACTGCCTGCCTGACATACTCACGTCCATAAGTTCCTGTACCATTGAGAGAAATGCATGTCGCTTTCAGGTGTTCATGTCACACTCAGAACGCAATTAGTTCATACAAAGTGTGCGCAACCCAAAAGCGATATCTTGCTAAACCTCATAGTGTTTACGCCAATGTTCTGGAGCCCAAAATCTTGCGGCCCTCAAGATTCAGATAAGATACACTACCCGGTCATTTGCCTCAGCGGTTAGCCACTTGGACAGCTCGACCCGTGCCACGCCGATCCGCTCAGACAAACCCCGCACATCTGTCTTAATGATTAAGCAGTTCACATAGAGTGGGTCTGGAGTAATCATGAGCTCGAATTCTTGCGTAAGACCCACCAGCTCAATCTTGCCTGCCTCGTCGTCATTGTGAACTAAGTGTGGCCGAATGTCGGAATGTTCCAAGTCATCGCGACATAATAATGCTCCTTCCAGTTCTGAAAACTCCGCGACAGAAGCCTCCATTATGAGGAGCTTATCCAGATCATTCGCCGACAGCTGCAGTGTCTCAAAGTCCGCTGCCTCCCTCTTTAGATCATTGTTTGGTGACAGAATGCTGATCTTGCACAAGTCCTTAATTTCCACATGCTTTCTGCTGGAAAAGAACTCTTGGGAACTTTTATCTTGAGCGTGCGGTCGCCGCCAGCCTAGCCAGGACCAGCTAGGATAGCCGGGTCGTCGTTCCAGTCCTTTAGTCTCAAAGTCAAGACCGTCCAGTATACGGTCTGTAGGTGTGGCCCAGAAGAATTGGGTGCCTTTCTGTTCGAGCCACGCTATAACGCCCGTACACGCTTTGAGAGTATCGGAATCGTACGTAAGCTCAAGTCTGCAGAAGCATTCCACAAAGCACAGGAAGTCAAACTCATCCCTGCTCGCTGGCAAAGACATCCGAGTCAAAGTTATTGCTTGTTTGAGAATCCGCCCACTATAGTCGCAGTCGATGCTCTCGTCAATCCACCCATCTTTACATTGAAAGACCACTCGATTTTCCAAGAAGAACAGACATCGCCTTGAGAATATTTGTTCCTGGAACGTCCAGCCACGCTGAGTCCAGCGTGCGTTCTTCAGCTCAGCTCCCAGTGGTGGCAAAGCTTCCATGAGAGCTATGTTTCCGATGGACACGCGGTGTTGCGACATAGGGCGTGCTATCGACACCCCGCTAAGGCCTGTCCACGATGAATCGGCACAAGCTGCTACAATTGTCATGACAGCTGTATCATAAATCTCCGTCATCTTGTCCAGATGTCGTGGAAGATCTGGCGCGTCCTGAATCAGACAAAGAGCGTCGACCCAGAGATATCGAATGCCGCATCCGATACAAACTTCCATGGCGTCTCTGATCGTTGCTGGTACCTCATCCCACCGTCGCCTCAATGCATTGCGCTTTGACATGGCTTCCACTTCCGTTTGGTGCAACTTCAGTTGTGTAAGGTGAGATGGGCCCCAGACATAGCTTAGGGCAGCGTATTTCGTTGGCAACTGCTTTGATTTCAGGCACATTGCTTTCACATCGATCAGTCGTAGCGTGTCCAAAGTTCTTGTTGTGAAGCGACTCTTCGCGCAATCGAAATGGGAGTCATGCGGGTCCTCCAAACATTTTCTCACCCACAATGATAACCCTTTGATGTTACAGTATGGCGTCAAACGCTCTGGCAACACAGTGATCCATTCGCGACCAGCAGCCGCTTCGATGTAATCAGGCCATGTGTTGGAGTATGATGCTTGGGAGGCTTGTCGATCGATAACCCTTAGAAACACAGCCCCGTGACTATCGCTCAATGCAACCTTGTTGAATTGTACAACCAGATCTTTTTCTGAGGCTGATATGTCGTCTTCCTTTATCTGGCCTCGAATAACGAGTAGAGACACGAAGAAACTACACATCGGGCAAGTCTTCGCAAGTCTGACGGTTTGCAGGGAGCGGACATCCCAGACCGGACGTCTTGAATGGTCTCTGATGACTCCACACGCGTAAGCAGGATATTGTTTGCCAAGAAACACGGTTGAGAAGTCCCATCGTGCGCAATCTGCGCATAAGTCTGCTGATTTCGATATCGTGCCCTTGTCCTCGGAGGTTAGTTGCAGAAGCTTGTCCAGCCATACCTTGATGGTGCGCATCTTCAATAGTCTTCGATAAAGAGCTACAATCCGAGATGCCTAGGTAGCAGATGAACAATGAGATGTTGGAACAATTACAGAGATGCCTGGGAGTGAACAAGAAGGCTGCGCCTACTCTTGAGTAAGACGAGGCTGTGTAGCCAGCCGAGTCTAACTGCCTCGGGCAAGAACGTTCCAGGCCTGCGAACCCAGCCTCATGGATTTCAGCCAGCATCGACAACTCTTCATACACAGGCAAAACATGCGCATTCCAACTCCACAAAGCCGGGCGAACGGGAACCATACGTTTATCCAGTTTCTCTCCCGTTTTTCGCGGGATCGCATTTCCTCCGCGAAACAACACCGATGACGTTCCCGTTGATTTCCCCGGGCCCGATTGGTGGAAATGCATCAACACGAACGTTACAAGCTACCCCAGACCATCTACTCTACCCCAGCGACCATCGGCCCCGAAAAGGAAATGATGGGGTAAAATTCCGATCAATTGTCATCTAGAAGGTAGACGATGTAGGGATGAAGGAGATCAGTTCATGGGTATATAAGTAATGAGCATCCTTCATCGAAACCGGCAGGCAAACCATCAGCAGCTCGAAATTTGCGATTCCATTCAATCTATCTCACAGCGGCAGAGCCAAATAGCATCAAGATGCATCTCCCAATAACCCTCACCTACCTCACCCTCCTCGCCACCGCATCCGCCCTTCCCTCTTCCAAGCCCAAACCCAAACCCAGCGCCCAAAAACCACCCTACTTCCTCCTCGCCGGCGACTCAACAACAGCCGTACAATCCGCAGGCGGCGGCGGCTGGGGCACCGGCTTCCTAACCACAACGCTCCAAAACGGTGCTTCAGGCACAAACTACGGCCACAACGGCGCAACAACCGTGTCTTTCCGGCAAGGCGGCGACTGGGCAACCGTACTATCCTCCGCTCAAAACGTCTCAAGCAAATACACGCCCTACGTTACCATCCAATTCGGACACAACGACCAGAAACCCGACAAGAACATCAGCGCTGCAGATCTCACAAACAACCTGATCGCGTATGTAAAAGAAGCGCGGGATGTAGGCGCAACACCCATCCTCGTTACATCGCTAAGCCGGCGCAACTACGATGCCGACGGGAAGATCAAACTAAATCTCGCGGATGTGGTAGCCGCGACGAAAGAAGCGGCGAGTAAGAGCGGAGCCGATATCATCGACTTGAATGCGGCGAGTACGGCGTATTTGAATGCGATTGGAGCGGAGAAGGCGCATACGTATAATCTCAAGGCGGATGATAACACGCATCTGAATGCGGAGGGGAGTGTTGTGTTTGGGAATTTGGTGGCGATGTTGCTGGATGATGCGGTGAAGGGGGTGAGGAAGTATGTTAGGCCTGTGCCGAGTGTGCGGATGGCGTTGCAGAAGGGGGTTTATATTTTCCCTGCTGTTTGAGAAGGTTGGAGGAGGCTGTCTCTGCTATCTTTTGTACAGCGTTGGAATGGAATTCAAAGCCCTTGTTTTTCGAATGGGTAGTGTTGCTGCTGTCTTGTGTGATTCCAGCTGAGCATGAGCTGAAAGATGACCGATTGGACTGGGAGTACGAAAGGAGTGGGAACTGAGAAATAGCATAGAGATGGTCTCCATCACTGCACCCACCTGTTTACATGTTCCCTGACGTGTAAGTAATGGTTGAACGTTGGCTGTGTTGTGTCGTGTCGTGTCAAGTTCTTTTTGTACAGGTATAATGATACATACCACACTCACCTTCCATCCACACTCACTCCAACACCCTACTTCCCACCACCCGTCAAACTCTCCTTAACGTCCTTAACAACCGCCCCAACATCCACCGTCTTCCCATCCACGCCCGCCCTCTCCTGAACTCCCCTTTCAACAACGCCACCCTCTCTATCCACAAACCGCGGCCTATCCTTCCACCCATTCGCATGCATATACCCCGCCGTCACAAACCCGACAAACATGCCACCATAATGACTAGCATGATCCGCAGTCGACGTACCCTTCTTAAATGATTGGAAAATCTCAAGCACGATGAAAGCACCCAACAGCATCTTAGGCCAAAACGCCACCTCCTGCTCTTTCAAAAAGGGGATTTTAATCTTCTCTTGATCGGTGAGGAGGCAGTAGAGGACGGAGATGCCCCAGATAGCTGCTGAAGCACCGACGGAATGAGCAGTAATATTTCCGCGGCCGAGATTAGCCCAGTAGAGGGAGAACAGCGTTCCGACAGCACCAGCGGAGATGTATGTGCCCATGAAGGTGCCACGGCCAACGAGGTCGCAGCATGCGGGGCCGACGAGACAGAGCATCATCATGTTGGCGAGGAGATGCTCGTATTGTACGTGGCTGAAGACGTTGAGGACGCTTTGGACGGCGCGCGGGTAGCCGGGGACGTGCATGAAGTAGCGGGTTAAAATGGGCCAGAGGGGCATCACGCGCCATGCTACTGCTATACCGACGTTTATGGCCAGCAGCGCGCCGATGGTGGCGGTTGTGGGGCTGAGGTCGGGGAGGAGGCGGTAGGAGGGTGAGGGAGGCAGGTAGTAGTGTGCGAAACCGTAGCAGATTAGGACTGTGAGGAAGACGAAGGCGGACATGGGGTAGAGACGTTGCGCCTGTGATGGTGTTAGTGATCGTGTCGATTTGAGAAGGAGGGGGGAGATGGTGCTTACAAGCGTGGTTTGTGCGAGTAGCTCTTCTTCTGTCTTCGCATCTGTTATCTGAGCAGCCTTGCTGTACTTCTCCATTTCCTCTTTCCGTCGGCTGACTTGCTCGCGACCGAAGACGTCGACGTAGGCTGTTTGACCGGGCTTCATGAGCTGCGTGCCGGTTGGCGTACGCACGTACTCTCCAGTCGCCAGTTTCTCCTCCATTTCTCTCTCTTGTTGCTCCTTCTCTTCTGCTTTCCGTGTAATCTCCTCTAATCGTTGTCTCCTCTTCTCTTCGATGTTGAGCTCAAACTGACTCTTGCCTGCATGCAGTATGCCAATCTTCCGATTGTCCTCTTCCTGTTGTATCCTCTCTGCCTCTTCCTTCTCCATTTGTTCTCGGAAAGCGCGAGCGGGGTCTTTGTATTTGGACTCGGTTTCTGGGTCGGCCAGCCACAGCTCGTAGGCTATACGGTTTGCCTCCTTCTCTGCCCATTCCTCCGCCGCACGCGCCTCATCTATTGGGTATTTTTCTCGTAACCACTCCAGGCCCTTCAATGCCGTATCCCTGCTTACGTGTGTATATTGCTTCCCCAGATTGTCTACGCCGTAGTCGGCAAGCGAGCCTGCTGTCCTTCGGTGGTGTAATATCCGCAGAACATTATTACCATCGTGGCCTGATAGCTTTCGCCCAAATATCCGATGTATCGTTGGTTCACTGACCGGCCCTTCGGGTAGAGGACCTATCCTGACTGTGCGCTTGCGTGATTGGGGGATGCTCGGGTTCTGCGGGGTGTCTATAACTCTTGCTCGATAGCGGGGTGTGGAGACGAAGGCACGACATTGCGGTCGCGAGGATCGATGTCGCTGTATGAGGGCTAATAAAGGCGACCTCAGGGTTGGCTCTGATAACGGTTGTGCAGTGCAGAGTCGCCGCGCGAGCGATGCGCATGTTGGTCGGAGGAGGGACATTGTTGGATGCGCCGGTCCACCACAATTGTCGCGCTCAGGATTGGCGCTGAAGAGCGGCTATCGTCGGATTGTCTTGTTGGCAGCTGTAGTTCCTGAGGTCGAGCAATGCATGGTACGCACGTCGTGGGCTATGGTATGCCAGATGCATGATGCGCATCGCCAAAATGTTCCGTCGGCATCTCGGAGATGCACAGACGCTCCCCGTTCATCACTTGCACATGGCACTCACGAGCCAACAGGTGGGGTATAAGTACGAACAAGATTATCAAGTGTACAAGTTTGTGACATTATATCGAATCCGTCTTTGATCAACTCTCCCCCATCGCTTTCATCTTCGCCAACACTCCCGTGTTCATTCCCACGATCAGCTTGACCAACTCCCAATCCCCATTCTCCCCCACATTATCCATCACGACAACACCGGTACTCCCATCGCCGCTCTTCGCTCTCCTCACCACACTTTCTGCGCTCTCATCTGTTACCTCCGGGTGGCGAGGTGTCGTATTTGGAGCCTCCAAGTGATGCCCCTCACAAAGCCACTCCTCCATGCCTCTGTTAACAATCTTGGCGATAGCCCCAGGCCAGCAGGATTTCTTCCAGAAGTTGCTCCCAGAGAGGAAGTTCAGGTACAGTGGTCCTGGCGGTACTGGGTTCGTGACATCGGTTGTAATTCCAGGGATGGGATGAACCGCAGCAGCGGAACGCACGAGATGGTCATTGCAATGCTGTATCTTCGTTGGTATGATGTCCGGTACAAGGACCTCGCAGAAGTCTTGGAGGCAGAACGTTGGTGCGGAAGAGTGCGACGGGAAGACGGCGTGGGTTGCGTTGTGCGGCCAGGCTGTTGCGTCTAGTCCGCCATTCTTGCAATCTGAACTTGAAGATGAAGCCACAGTCCGGGCTACATTGTACCTCCGTACCAGAACCAGCTTACTCCTTACTGCTCCCAAGTACGGTATCGCGTTCTCTGTGTACCAATGTCGCGCATTCGGGGTGATGTAGTGCTCCTCTAGGATGCGGGCAAGATGTTCGTCCGTCGCGCTTCCCACACCTTCTCGCTTCAAACTTACCAATACCGTCTCGCTGGGGTTGGCTAAGAGAAAGTCGTAGCATATCTTTAGGATAGGCTCAAGGTACTTCGGTCCTGTCAGACTCACGGGGAATGCGCCGTGGACTAGGTAAAGGTCTTTCTTTGATGCATCCGTCGCGTGTGTTGGCTGTACACGTATGTCCAAGAACCTGATCCCATTTTCTAGCTGTATCTTCACATCGTGGAGCTGGCATCGAACAGATGGGAGGGCGCGATAGTGCGTATGTGCATTGTGCGATCCCGGGATGCTTATAGCTGATAGAGGTAGATCATCTGGTAATGAGCTCATCCATGAAGAGTAGTTCAGAATGTGGTTCGCATGGATCGAGAGATGGGGAACTGGTGTCGATGGGTGAAAGAGGGCTTTGTAGGTTGTTGAAGAGTCCGCAGACAGTGGGGTAAACGACTGTGTTGATTTTTGAGTATATGACGGGTGCGTATCAATGCGATGGCGTTCACCATTGGCTGTCTGAATGGTGAGACGGAGCGTTGGATTTGATAGTGTAGATGCATTGGACTGCTTCGAGTTTGCAAATTTTATAGTATACGACTCGAACGGCTGCAAGACGGTTTCAAGATCTTGATCGTTGAAGGTTTGTGCATGGCTGCAGAGTTCAGGTGAAGTGGGTGCCGCGGATGGGGTGCTTTGAGCACCAAGGAAGTACCCGCTTGCTTTGGACTGGAGCGTATTTGGGTCCTGAAATCGCTCAACACGCTGGATCGAGAGGGTGGTAGGCGTCAAATTTCGTACGGTCAGTGGTGAAGCCATGACCGATAGTTCCGGCTCTTTGTCACTGCAATGTCCTGCAAGGGTAGGATTTGAGATCTCCCAAGACACGTCAGCGCGTAGAGATGTTGACAAGCTTGAGGTGCCGACCGAAGCTATTCTAATTGAATGGAGTTTGTTGCGGGACTGGTGACTGCGGAACGATGCCGTCTCGAACAAAGGGTAAACCTTTGTCTCGCCAGGGTGTAGATGCTTGAACAATGGAAGGTTGAGAAATGGTTGTCAGCCAACGTGCACAGGCCGAATCAAGCGCCAAGGCGCCAGTCTTAAGAAGGCGCGCAAGGGAGGCGCAATTCTAGGGCACAGAGGTTCATTTGCAGGTATGAGGGAGAAAGGTGCAGCTATACACTGATAGTTCGTTCAAGTTCCTGTTATCGTAAACACCAATAGATTATCTCAACACCAGGTAATAGTAAATATCTCGCATTTGTCACGAATATCAACAGAGGCCTAAGCCTTTAACTATCATCGGAACCACTACACTGCGCCGAACAGGGACGCCAAAGCGTCCGATCTGCCTCTACCAGGGGTTCATCTGGGTATCATGCAGCCAAAAGGTAAGATATGCATGTCCAACAATGAGAAAAGTACTGGTACAACTGACACCTCGACTGTACATTTGTAAAACCGCAAACGCCTCTCATGCAATGCACCGCGCAGATAGATACGGCGTCTGTCTGGAAAAGAAAGCCCGCCAACGCCGAGAAATGCAGTTCGCTAGCAGAGAAGGTGATTCATGTTTTTGGGTACCGGGCCGGTTGGGCTTTCAATGATGTG